TTATTATCTCATTGTTATGATTGAGAGTTTCTTTAAAGCTTATGTACAAGGTGTGTCCAGAAAGAGTCCGGCTATTGTTAATGTAATGAGAAAGGTTTGTGCAACATCAATGTGACCTGGCAGCCAAGGACAGTGGTCTGGAATGTGTGAACAATGATGACTTCACTGCGCTATCAGTGGGGATGGTTGATACCATTGAGTGAGCATGTGTACTGTGTGGCTGTCGCATTCAAAACGACTGAGATAGTACAGCAACATATCTGCATAAAATTTTGCATTAAGCTTGAACATTCCTCTGTGGAAACTGTTTGGATGATTCAGAAGGCACAGCTATGGGCAACTTGTGATTGGCAGCTTCATCATGACAATGCACCTGCTTGTGCATCATGTCTGGTGCAGAGTTTTATGGTGAAACATCAAATCACCCAGGTGACTCAGCCCCACTACAGCCCAGATTTGGTGCCCTGTGACTTCTGGCTTTTTCCAAAACTGGGATCATCTTTGAAAGGGAAGAGATTTCAGACCATCAATGAGATTCAGGAAAATGTGAGAGGGGGGCAGCTGATGGTGTTGGGAGAACTGTGTGAGGTCCCAAGATGCCTACTTTGAAGGGGACTGAGACGTCATTGTACTATATACATTGCTTCTTGTATCTCCAATAAATGTCTCTAGTTTTCATATTACACGGCTGGATACCTTCTGGACAGACCTCATATATTAATGTGGTGTTAACTTGAAGGGCATTAAATCTCAGAAAACTTTCATTTTGCTAAGCTTCAGAAAGACTGCCAATCACCTCTTCCCAAATCGGGGTATACCCTAAAAACCCTACCAGTAAGTCCAGCCTACTTGAGGGTCCCTGGGAGGTGTGACCATGGCTGAACTGAAAACCTCTGAAACCTGCAGCTGAGCCAGACATCCCTGCCACATTGGTCACCTTGCTCCCTGGGACCACTGCCACCAAATTGACATAGGTTTGTCCTCCCTGTTTGTGCTGGGTGAGCAAAACCCTGAGGAAATGGGACCGCAGTGTCTCACACTTGTGTAGGGAATAAACAGGAGAGAGCCGAAAGGTCTGGCAGTCTCCTTTAATTTTCACACCTCTGACTGGAGTGTTTCCCCACCCCCACTGCAGACCCAGTGAGGACTGAGCGGATGAGTTATAGAGACTCGGAGGACTCACTGTTTGTAAGTGGCAGAGCCAGGTCGGCTGACTTGAAAGCACATGTGCCCCCACCAACCTGAGCTGTGGGTGTGGGAGGCACAGGATCTGACAGAAGAACAAAGATGACATCAGCTGAATGACTGTTGAACTCCTGCTGTGTGCCAAGCCCTATGGTAGATTCTTAGCATACACCTCCTCAGTTAACCTCCCAACAGCCCAGTGAATTAGGAGCGTCACCCTCTTATTCCCTACTCAGAAGAATCAAGAAGCTTTCTAAAGGTCATTCAGTAAATAACAGGGCTCCCATTTGAACCCGGATCTGTATGGGTCTGTATATTCCCTCTTACCAAGATAGAGTGTTAATCAGAGGGGTTAGGGGAGAAATAAGAAGTCTTACAGTAGTAGAAGAGGAAGCAAAACTGATAAAAGTAGAAAGATATCCTGAAAACTAGACAAATGTCCAACCAAAGGGTTAGAACTTAGCAGTATGTGATCTTGGACTAAACAGCCTGACGATTTGTTAATTACCTGTATTTTACTAAATTTAACATATCAGTTTAACATAAACATAAAAAATGTTAAGTTAGGTCTTAAATTTGCCTTGAGTAGGACTCAGAAGGTCTTCTGAGATAGAAATGAATTCCTGAGATCCAGATGGTGATAAAGTGAGCGAGTAGATACAAATGTTCAATTACAGAGGATCCACTAAAAGTCAGATATAAATTGGAATGCAAGTAGCCAGACCTCTAGTTTAATTGAGATTTATTTTTTTACATTTGAGTTTCAAGACAATAAAGCAAGTTTCAACAACAAAACTTTTATCGGGGACTATTCAGTAAGGTCACTCGTACTAAACATGTGTTGTGGTCTTTTTAGTCTCCTTCGTGGTCACTGTCATGTGACATGCAGTTAGGATGATGTTTGCTCTCAGCATCTGGGGGCACTGCAGATGCTTAATTACCAGAGAAAGAGTAAAAATTATGTCAACTATATCAAGGCAAGAGGGATATGAGTACATTTGAAATATATTCTAAACAAGTGGTCCTATAATTATCCTTCAATTAACTAAAAATGATTAGATAGCAGATCCCTAAACAGCTCACTAAGTAAGACTGTACATGCTGAGTGCTGGAGGTGGCCACATGACAAAAAAAAAAAATTGTGACGAGAGCACTCCAAATCTGGGTGGTGCTCCTTTGCTTTATCTTTCTTAATTATTAACTTGTTTATGAGCAGCTGTAAGAAGATAGACTTGCAGAATAAGGGCAAAGGTTTTAAGTACAAGTCAATTTTTGATCTTTAAGGCCTGCATCTAAAGTTGTGAGACTGTAGTCAAGACTAAGTAGGATGGGCTTATACCTGCTGTGCAGTGACAAGAGCAACTTGGCTTTGGCAGATGGGATGAGAGTGTGCGTTAGAGCGTCACGGAACCCATCACACTTTCTGATTTCCGTTCTCCATCAGTGCCAGGGCCTCTCCTGGCTCCCCTCCTACTCCATTTGTCCCCACCCCCCACCACTAAGTACACACTGAATATAGCCTTTTTCCAGTGGTGAATCGCCTGGTTAAATTTCCTCAAGTGGCAAAAATCCTATCAAAAACCGTTGCTTTGAGACCTTTTGCTGTTAGCGACCTGCCCATTCTCTATCACTGTGTCTTTGCAGACCTTCCCATACAGGTAAAGCAAAGAAAGCACAGGCAGAGGAAACTTCAACCAATCAATGTTTGTTGGAGTGTGTGGAGAAAATACATTGCTTGAAACTGAACAATATTAAATTTGCACAAAATACTTTTAAATATTTAGTCTGACTTTCCATGCCAGTTAATAATATATGTAATTGAGAGAGAGCCATAAAAATTCAGTATATCCCTCTTTCAGAGGTCAAAGATAAACTTAGTAAATTTAGTCCTGTTTTTAGTGTCTCTTGAATGACATTCCTCTTGAAGAGGAATTGTTATCACACTCTTTCAGGTTCAAACACCTTGAGCATATGATTCCTGTTTTCTAAACAGTATCCAACTCTCTCAACCTAAAGGTATAGCTTAGGGTGATAAACAACAGGGTAAGGAGAAGAGAGCAATGGCTGATGGGGATGCCATCTTAAACGGGTCTAGGGGACTCTCTAATGTCACTTTTAAGCAGACACCCAAAGGAAGTGACGGGGAGATCCATGTTGATAACTGGGAGAGTATTTCAGGCATTCGCAAAGGTTCTGAGATGGACTAAACCAGTCAGTATGAGTAAAGCAGATCACAGGGAAAGAGAGTGTTACAAGGTAAAGCCTACACCAGATAGCACTTTCTGGGCCAAGGTAGAGACCTTGTGATTTCCTCTGAGTGGGATGGGAAATGTTGGAGAGTCTTAAGCAGGGGACTCATGTGGCTTGTGTTTTAATGGGATGGCTGGGGCTGCTGAGATGAAACAGAGCAAAGGAGATCAGTGGCAGGGTCAGGTAGACTCATCAAGGGGATATTGCAGTCACACAGAAAGGAGGTGACCGGAAAGGTGGAGGTACAGGTGGGAAGATATTTTTGAGGCCGAGCTGAAAGAACGTACTAATGGAGAGAAGTCAAGGGTGACGACGTCATTTGGGCTGGCTCAACTGGAGGAATGGAATCAAATTCTGTAATGGGCGGGGGGGGGGGGGGAGGGGTAGGGGTGGAGCTGGTTTTAAGGCAGAGGTTAGGAGTCAGGGAACTCCAAGGACTTGGTTTTGGACATGATTTCTATCTATCAGAGTGACAGATATCCTTTGAAAGTATGGCAAGGTAAAGTAATACACGTAAAGAAAAATTGTCTTGTCCCGGAGAATCCTATAATTTCTCTAACCAGAGAACTGGCATAGAAATTCCTGTAACTGCCTGGTTCTTCCGGCCTGCCTTCCTTTCCTAGAATACATTTCCCTCAGTCTTTTGAATAATCTTTGCTATTGAACTTTTGTCAGAAACTTTCTCAAAATCCTAGTAAGTTATATCTTCTGGCTCCTGTTTGGTGACCTACTTGGTTATATTCTTGGAATTTTTGCTTGCTAACTGTAACATATCCCAATGCGAGCAAATGTCGGAAGCTTTCAGGAATTTAAGATGGAACTTTATTGGCCAAAGTTTCAAAGTTTTACCTGCGCCGGGGCGAACTCTCGGGGTGCCTCCAGAGACACGGGTGCCAAAGTGGCTGCAGGTGAGAGTCGCACCTGGTGCTTACAGCCTGGGGTTTTTATTGGGGTGAGCAAGCAAGCAAGCAGCAAATACAGAAGCAGACGTAGCTGTTAGCAATTGGCTATTTTGAGAGGACACACACACATCTCTGCTTACTACAATGGATACTTTCTGCAAAGACAAGGCCATGCAAAGACAAGGTCATACACGGGCGGGTTGTACTTCTTTTTACTTTTCTATCTCCCTTGCTGAGACAGTCTGGTGCCTGCCTCATCCTCCCTGCTAATTTTATCTAATTCCGGTCTAACCTAACCCTAACCTAACACTAACCAATGAACTTTGTAAGAACTAAGGGCAGACAGAGGTCAGAGAATCCAATCATGTTTCCACATGGATGTTCACGTGTGAACTGGGACAGCAGGGTGAATGACTTCAGAGACCCTTGAACACACCACGACTATGAGACTGTCCACTTAAGCTAAGGCCGATGCTTTTCAGATGGGTCCTTCCCAATGAACAGCATGTGCCTAGAAGGCAGGCAATGCAACTGTGTCATCGTTTTCCTTTCCTAAGTCTAGCCTAGTACCTAGTACAGAGGTGAGCAGTAAATATTGAATAGGTTAAATTTTCTGGATAATTTTTAAGCAACTAAAGATGTCTTTTCTCTTTTGTCTTGTAGCGCCTGACAGCTACAAAGTGCAAGAGAAGAAAACTGCTGTCTCCAGCCGGCCCCACTCCACTATTTCAGGGCAAAACAGCAACAACTCAGGAAATAAGCCAGGTACGAGGCAGGCATGGCAGGTGCTGTGGAGAGGAAGGCGTCCCCCTCGCAGGCGCACTAGGATCCAGGAGAGCACGGTTCCAGTTCTGCCACCAAAACACATGCTTATAGTGACTTGTATGACCTTATATCAGAGAACCTTGCAAAGCCTTTTGTCTTTTTCAAATGAAGGGTCAAAAACATGCCCTGTTTACGTCTCAGAATCATTTTACCCGTCAGTGAGATGATATATGTGGATGCATTGTTTTACTGCCAACCAGTATATAAGAGGTAGCAATTTCATTATCCTATTTGAAATGCTACATATGACACAATTTTTTCTTACACTCTTCTACCTCCCCTTCCCGCTGGCAGTCACCATACTGTTTTCAGTATCTGTGAGGTTTTTTTTCTCTCTACTTAATCCCATACCAGCTTTGCTATGTGTGTAAAGATTTCCTTAAATGGTTTTTGAAAAAGTCACAAGAGATATGCAGTAATGCTTGGGCATGCAGGTGCATAAAATTGTGTCATGTCACCTGTATGCTCAAGCATTATTGCATATCTCTTGTGACTTTTTCAAAAACCATTTAAGGAAATTTTTATGCACAGCAAAGCTGGTATAGAATTATGTTTTTGTTCTCCATGCCCTGCAATGCTTGTACACCTACACAGTAATTTCATTTAATGGACTATGATTCATGGTCTGTTCCACCTGGTGATACAAAGATGCAAACAGTCTGTTTAATATAATACAAACAGCTGGATAGACAGTGCAGTTGCTTCCAGGTACCCAACAGCCATTGCGTGGTCCTTGGGAGAGACTAATGTAGGGTAGGATGATGAGAGGCAATGAAAGGAAGGTAAAGGCAAATTGAATACTCCATGAGTGTCTTGGAAGTCTACTTTGTGCTGCATCCAAGGCCAAAGTCACTCAAGAACAGGGAATCGGTGAGAATGAAAGAAGAAATAATTGCATGTAGCTTCATAGGAAACATTCCCCATTATACTTATATTTATGGAGCTTTTTCTCATATGGAAAAGGTCTTAAATAAGATGCTTTAAATAAGACCTAAACCAGGCCAGTCACTTAGAAGAAAGAAGAATAAGTAGTACTATTGCAAATATTGCCTGAGCAACCATTAGTGGGAAATGTGTAATTTCAGCGGAGCTTTAATTAGCAGACTGAATTTTCCCCATTTAGTTGGTTTGCCTTTTCATTCATTTGTTTATCCATTCATCTATCCACCCACCACTCAACCACCATCTAAGAGTATTTATCAAGTAGATGTTCTATGCCTGGGACTGTGAGAGGTAGTGTATGAACAAAACAATGGGACCCCTATCCTCACAGGGCTCTTTCTGGAGGGCTTTTGTTCTTACACTCAAGTGAGCATCCTTGTGGAAGTAGAGATTTTTTAGCATGAAAACCCCATTTGTTTCACCATGAGAACTGAACATAGCTAAGTGGTTTGTACTATTTTTCCTTGTTCTCCCTATTGACAATCACTTCTAATGACTTTTCTGCTATTCAGTCTGTTCTAATCAATTTTCATACCATTCTGAAATGCTGAAATTTTACTAAAATTTTTCTCATTCTTGACAGAGCGACTGATACTTCTATATCCTGACACCTCATTTATTTATTTGGTGTTAGCACTATACAGGCACCAAGGGTATATTACTAAAAGACATAATCCCTACCCTCCAGTTGACATTAGGGTAGAATAAACTAACATATGAATGATACTTGAACACAGAATTTCCAGTATCATAAGATGCAGCTGCATAGAGCACAGAGACCCAAAACTCTCCATCTCCATTAGCCATCTCCATATAGGGCTATTTGATTTAAGCTGCTAAAGTCAGGTTAAATGAGGAGACGTTTCATTTCAGATTGTGTAGTTTGAGCATTCTTGTGTCTGCTTTCTACTAAATAGAGATAAGCAAAGGTACATAAAATGTTCTTGTTATTTTAGTCCTCACCTGAGCATATGTTTATTGATTTTAGAAAGAGAGGAAGGGGGTGAAAGAGAGAGGGAGAGGGAGAGAAAGAAAGAGAAACATCGGTGTAGTAGAACAACATCGATTGGTTGCCTCAATACATTAAATAGGGAGATACCTTAAAATAGTAACTGCTGGCATTTATATTTTTAAAATTTATTTTTAAATATAAGATTGCTTAGTTTGCCCCATTGATGCATATTAATGGAAGTGTAAAGGCTCTGAAAATTAACTATGGTTGTTTGCTCATTCATTCATTCATCATTCAACAATAATTATTGAGTATTCTCCTATCTGCAAGGTACAGTCCTAGGCACTGGGAACCCAGCAGTAGATAAAACCCAAGGCTCTGCTCTTCCCTACTCCCATTCACCACCATCTTCAATATGTCACCGATGTTATTGACATTCTACCACCAAAGTGACTTTTTTATTGATGTAATCAGGGGGGTGGAAACAGAATTTAAACTGAATAACTTTCCCACCCTACAATTCAATATTTTCTACTGCTAGATTCCAAGCCAACCCAAATCATCTCACATATCATAATTACTCTGTGTTTTATACTTTAGAAATGTTGCATTAATTTTTTACCTTCTCCAAATGAATAGTGATTATCATTTCAGCACTTATATTAAAAGTCAGTGGGAATTATTGCACTTTTAAGCATTGGCCTAATATGTAGTTATTAATTGACATATTTGTATAGCTCTATATACAACCTGTTTCTTATTGTGTTCTAGACAGGATGCAGAGAGCATAATTTTCATATGAAATGATAGCCTAGAAATCAGAGGAAAACTGTGCCTATTCTTGCACTATTTTCCAACCGTGCATCTAAGAGACAAGCATTACATGGTGTAATTGGGTATTACCTCATTACTTCAATTCTGTTATCAGAATTTGTTAATGTAATCAGAAGTAATTAAACTCTACTTTATAGACTTTCTTTATAGTATGTTAAAGGCTTTTATAAATAAAGTTGATTTTCAAGTTTTATAATTGAATACAAGTTTTTATGAGTGATTAAACCTCATTATTTAGGGACTTTTTAAAGCAGTAAGTAATTATTAAAAGTCTTTACTGCTGTTTCATTTTGGCTTTTGTTCCCAGATTATTCTTTCTTCAAAATACTGTTTTGCTATGGCTCTCATTTTCTTTTACCGAAAACGGATGGCAGCAAACCCCACTGTGTGTGGTTCTTGACAAAGCAGCTGAGGGGGAGTCTGCATGACCATTTTCTAGGGTCAGAATAGAACCTTTTGGGGCCATGCGCATATTTTCCTACATAGAAAAATTAAGACCTCATAAATGATCAGTGAATCTGATCATCATAGTGAGTTGAGCCAATGAGGGGTTTATATTATTAATTATTTAAAAACCATACCTTAAAGCTAAGGAAAAGCATAAATTATCATCACCTAGTCCTGCTCACGATGCCAGGTTTATGCAGGCTTCTAATGGGCTTTTCTACGGTTTTTATTTCCCTTCAATGTATAAATTCTGAGAAGTTTAAGAGACATTTGGGACACAGGATCTTTAAATTTGTTGATGAACCCCTACCATGTTGCCTCTCAAGTCTTATTCAATAGGTTTCTATTTTTAACATGAGATCTTAAAATGATAGTGTCAATTTAGTAGCAACAAAAATAAACCTAATTTTGAGTGTGATGTCATCATTGATATTGTTATTACTTGTATATCACTGAAAGTATAGTCATAGTCATGTGCACTAATGGTAAGACATAGCAGTGTGCTATTGATCACATTTACTGGACAAAAATATTCATCTTTGTATATCATTAGTTTTTTAAAAATATGCTCATAGAGAACAAGGCCGACAGCTGTGGAGGAGGTAAGGGGTGGAGGGGTCAAGCGAAAAAGGACAAAGGACTCGGGCACAGACAGCAGTGCGGGGATCACGGGGTTAGGGACATAAGGGGGACAAATGGGGAAAAATCCAATAGTCCAATAAAAATGAATTTAAAAAATAAGATAAAATAATAATAAAAATTTAAAATATGCTCTTTGTCACGTGTTTTTATCTCATTTCAGACCCTCCACCTGTGCTAAGGGTTGACGACCGGCAGCGACTGGCCCGGGAGCGGCGTGAGGAACGGGAAAAGCAGCTAGGTATTCCTGCCCCTCGTTCGGTCTTCAAAAAACACTGTTGTTGAAATGGTGCTTTTCCCCTCCAGGAAAATGGGCACTTAACATTGAGCAAATGGACATCACTATAACGGGTTTTGCAAATGAATTGCAACACAGAATTTAGTGTGTGATATAACACAGGACTGAATTTTAAGTGACAGGAAAGTCCGGCCCAGGATTAAGGTCATTTGCACGTCTTTGTATATTGTAATCACATTTTAATGTGGCACTGGAGGGAATGTATATATGAGAGGTGTGATGGCTCGGCTTACATTTTACAACTTAAAAGAAATACAGGGACAGTGAGCATATGGGTTTTTTATGTAAACAGTTATGAGACTATTCACTGCTAGGGCACTTACTGCTTTCCATGTTAAAGTAATGCTGCTTGTTGAATTTATAGACAGATGCTACCATTTTGCTGCCAGGAAAAGCACAAGACCTCGTGCTGAGGTGTCTGATGTTTCCTTTGTTACCTAAAGCCCTTGTGAAAGGGTAGCGACTACAGTATTTGCCATATAATCACCTAGAGAGCTGGGTCACGGGACCAGCTTACCAGGAAGCCAAGATCAGAGCGCTCAGCAGTCATTGTCTCCTAGACCATTGAGCAAGGACGCTGGTGCCAACTCCTGCTTTACTTTGCAGCCCATTCATACCAAGTTGCTAAAACTGGATACTCTCTTTTTATGCACCTTGAAAAGATGAAGTGCCCGGTCAGTATATCTGTGTTTCTAGAGTGTCTAGGTATTTTAAGACCAGGGCTGACTTAGGTTGCCTAAATCTTTCCAGTGGATGATCCACAAATTTTCTAAAGCTCAGCTGCATTTTGTAGGAGTTCATGTTTTAATTGGGGAAGCCAGCCCCTATGTCCCATCTTTATATAAAATTCTTATGCACAAACCCAAATTAGTGAAATTCCCTGGAATATGCTTTTCAAACGTCTGTTGGTATTATTTACATTATTTTAATACAGGCCTCTTTCTCTGCCTTGCCGTAATGATCACATGAAGTCATTTTTTTTTTTTTGCTGCCAAGGTTTTTTCAACACAAATCTCAATGACTTGCTGAAAGTGAACAAGCTCCCCTATTTTTCTTTTCCTGGCCTTTCCACCCAGTCTTGAAGTTCCCTGTCCCAGACAGGTTTCCTGCAGTTGGTAGGCACCTGGAGAGCAGGGCTGTCTGTGGACTCTGCCCAGTGCTCCAGAGTCAAGGTTGGTTTGACAAATGGTCCAGAGCTGAGAAAGAAGGGAAAAGGCAGAGTTATTGAAGTGAAGAGATTCCAGATGAGCAAAAAGAACAAACTGACTTCTGCACTGTGTTTGGAATTTGTACTTTGGTTTTGGATGCATCCAACTATTAGCATTTGTGTGCCCCCCCTCCCCTTTCCACCCTATCCCGGTTGGACAGTTCCACACCATTAAATGTCTCCTTCGAATTGCAAGGCGGATTCATGTCTGCTCGAGTAGGGTAGCTCCATAGCATCAGCCTGCTCCTTTATGATTTAACTCCCATTGTGAATTAGCTTTTACCAATTAACTCATAGCTTTCCATTTGGTTTCCTTGTCTTCCAAAGCCAAGCGTTATCAATTCTTTTGTGGAAAGAATGAATATGCTGGACCAAAAAAATGATTTCACTTCTTATGCTATAAAGTTGTAAGACTCATAGCTCTGAGCCTGCAAATTCTCCCTACCATTTGCCTAGCTTTGTTTGTTGAGTGGTTAGATTTTTTTTCCTTAAGATGTAGTCCCATATTTCAATTCGTATCAATGGTACAGAACATGACTCATTGACTTACATATTCAGAAATTTTATTTGCCAGATATTGTGTGAAAAGGATGAACTGGGGGAGCCCCAGCCCTCAAGGGGTAACTGCAGTCCAGTGAGGAGGCAGGGGAACACAAAGCAATTTTAATACAGGATGGAGCTGGAGAGGTGGGCACAAGGGTTGTTGAGAACCCACAGGAGCACCTAACCCAACCTGGGGATGTCAGGTGCCACCTGACCTTCCAGCTAGAGAGTAAAGGAGAGTCATGCAGGGAGATAGAAGAGGCAGGGACTGGAGGGCAGTGATGCAAGAACAGGTGGGAAGAAGGCACTTGGTGACAGACCCAACATGCTCCTCAGATTATTACATGGGTCAAAGGATCCCAATTGTACTTTTTTGGTGAACCAGTATATAACATACAGTGTTTCTCTTTCTTCTTAACCCTGCCATGTTAAATATCATCATTTTCCTTAATTCTGATCTCTTTTACTGTTGTTGAAAATCATAATACATCAATTCTTTTTCCTTGCATTAATTACATTGTATTTTTAAATTTTGTGTGTCTTATTGCTTATTCTTTTCCATTTAATAGAAATCATAATAGACACTGAGTCTAGAGAGGCTCCCTGGAATCTTCATATTATGCAAATAAACATTCCTGCAAGTACATGCACATACATTTGTAAAGAGTTGTCTAAAATCCAGCATCTGATTTAAGCTGTAGCCTAGACTACAGAAGGGTGGTTTCCAAAGAATCTTTCGTACTAAAAGAAAACCAAAGGGCACACATGGCAAACTACCTATAAACTGTGCTTTGCAGAAGCTCTGGTAGCAGTTAAATTTTTTAAGGGGGGGTGGGAGATTGTCTACCACTTAATATCAGATCTCTGAAATGTGCTTTTTTGAAAACAAGCAAAAAAAAATAGTTGGTAACATCAGTATTACAAAGCTTTCAAACTTTAAAGCTTTACAAGTTAAAAAAAATGGAATGCATTCCAGAAATTCCAACAAAGCAACATTTAAACTGATTGGCCAGTGAGACTGATTACTCACTGTTGGATGTAGGTTGAAATTAGCATTGAAAGGTATTTTCTTATCCACTTTTTTTTTAAGCGAAGTAGAATAAAGGTCTTGTTTTTTTCAATGGCATATCATGTTTGTACTGGTCGCAAATGGGTACACTATTAATAGCTGTCCGTGGGTTAAAACTCTAAGTCATGCTTTAATGTTCTTATGGTAGGATTATGTCATGTGACCTGCTCTTGCTACATTTTGTTTGAATTTATCACATAAAATCAGGCATAATTCTTCATGTTTGGGATTTTTCTCTCTGGTCGAGCATATGGACTCGCAGGCATTATTTTTCGGCCTTAAAAGTGTTATGCATGAAGGAATCTCCTCAACGACCCCATGTCATCTGATTCTGTTCCGGCCTTTTCTTCAGCCTCCCTCTCTCTCTTGACTTGTGTCATCTCTCTTCTAAACTTTAATTTTGTTTTCTCCTAGGGGGGAAACATCGTATTCGTTCTCATGGTTTCAGCTCTCCTTTTCTGACAATACAGGTTTCACATTTCCAGCTACTCATAAAGCAGTAGGTGCCTTCCCATTATCTAAAACTCAACTGCCCTACAACCAACTCGTGCCTCAGTTGCACTCCAAAACTTACTCCTCTGGGTAATTCCTGTGTTCCCATCAATTGCACCAGTATTTTTCTGACCCCAAGAAATTACTTCTTTCAGCTATTTTTTTCAATATTTTTTAAAGATTTTATTTATTTATTTTCAGAGAGGGAAAGGGAGGGAGAGACACAGGGAGAGGAATATCAGTGTGTGGTTGCCTCTCATGCACTCCCTACTGGGGACTTGGCCTGCAACCCAGGCATGTGCCCTGACTGGGAATCAAACCAGTGATCCTTTGGTTCACAGGCTGGTATTCAATCCACTGAGCCACACCAGCCAGGGCAACTTTCAGCTATTTTTTGATACTTCTGGTGCTGCCAGAGGGACTGGTTTCTTTCTGACTACCAGTATTAGCATTGGATCTTTTGCAGAATAAAACAACAGTCTCTTTTCCTTGGTGACCCCATGCTGTGCACTGACTGGTCTACACCCTGGCTTGTTGTGCCACTTGTAGCCACCAGTAGTCAGTCTGGACTTAGCCTAGTCCTCCAGCTGGGGCTTTTGCTCTCTCTAGCCCAGTATGTAAGTAGAAGTTGCCACACTCTTTTTTTTAATTGTTGTTCAAGTGCTGTTGTCTCCATTCTTCCCCCAACACTCCCCCCCAACCCAGCCATCCCTACCTCCCACCCTCAATCCTACGCACCTTTGTCTTTGTCCATGTGTTTTTTTTACATGTTCCTTACGACCCTTTGCCTTTTCCCCCCTTTATCCCCTCCCACCTCCCCTCTGGTTACTGTCAGCTTGTCCTTAATTTCAGTGTTTCTGGTTATATTTTGCTTGCTTGTTTTGTTGATTAGGTTCCATTTATACATGAGATCATATGGTATTTGTCTTTCACCACCTGGCTTATTTCACTTAGCATAATGTTCTTCAAATCCATCCATGCTGTCGAAAAGAGTAGGAGCTCCTTTCTTTCTGCTGTGTAGTATTCCACCACATAAATGTACCACAGATTTTTAATCTACTCATTACTGATGGGCACTTAGGTTCCTTCCAACACTTGGCTACTGTAAATTGTGCTGCTATGAACATTGGGGTGCATAGGTTCCTTTAAATTGTTGTTTTGGGATTCTTAGGGTATAATCCCAGCAGCGGAATTGCCAGGTCAAAAGGCAGTTCCATTTTTAGTTTTCTGAGGAAATTCCATACCGTTTTCCACAGCGGCGGCACTAGTCTGCATTCCCACCAACAGTGAACTAGGGTTCCCTTTTCTTTACATCCTCACCAGCACTTGTTCGTTTATTTGTGATGGCCATTCTGATCAATGTGAAGTGGTATCTCATTTTGGTTTTAATTTGCATCTCTCTGATGACTAGTGATGCTGAGCATCCTTTCATATGTCTCTAGGCCCTCTGTATATTCTCCTTGGAGAAGTGTCTGTTTCAGTCCTTTGCCCATTTTTAATTGGGTTGTTTGTCTTCCTGGAGTGGAGTTGTGTGAGTTCTTTGTATATTTTGGAGGTCAAACTCTTGTCCAAGGCATCATTTGCAAATATATTTTCTTATACTGTTGGTTCCTTTTTCATTTTGCTGATATT